AATTTGATATAAAACTGGATAAATAAGGATAAATAGATCAATACTCCAGTGGGTGGAAGGGTTTCTTATGCAGTTCCTGATACTAATTTATAAAAACCATAATATTGAAAAATAACACTTACTATGATTACTGGCAGTGGAAGGTTGTATAGTGGCATTTTCATTGTAGACTCTACAAGTTAAAGATATAATTATTAATTATATTGTTAGGTTCTATAAATATTAGTGAAGAATCTAATGTAATAAATAATAATTCATTTTAATTTTCAATGTACAACCTAGGCAGGTTGGTATTATTGTAGTCATTATTCTTTTATTATTTGATGATAATTAAAAAATGTATTAATATATGTTTCATTTAAAACAAGCTAAAAGTAAAAAAACAAATATACAGTAATATAAAAACAACAAAGGCAAAAATTGCTGATAATTTAAATCAGTATTTATTATGCTATATTATTTAATTGTTTTGTCAGAATGACTTTAGTAGAATAACTAGTGGGCTGTTTTTTTTTTTATAAATATTATTGGCTATTGCACAAGGTAGGTTATTTAATTTGTCATGAATAAAATATAGGTAATAAATTAATTATATCATGCATGTACTACTTATTAGTGGTTTGGACTTAAAATATATATAATTTTTTACTATGTATTGTTGTAGATATTAGATTAAAGTACTATACCTGAAAGCTTTCACAAAGTTTGCCGCGTTATCAGTTACAATGAGAGATGTCTTATTCTGAATATTAAATTCCGATAATACTTTGTCAATCATTTCAGCTATATTGTCATATGTATGTTTTCCATACATTCTCCTACAAGCAAGTCCTTTTGATGTACGCTCTAATGTGGTTTGATTTAACCAGTGTACTGTGAACCCCATGTAAGACCTATATAAAAGAACACAGTTTTTAATATTATTATGAAATAAATAAATTAGAAATGTCAAATGTACATCATTGTTATTACTCATTTAACATAAAATAATATTTATCTATATATTTACCGGTGAAATACAGACCAGCAATCTGCAG